CGAGCGGCGGTGGCAGCCGCCCGGGCCCTGGTCGCCCCTCGGGCGAGGCCCGACGCCCCCGCCCTGGCGGACGAGCTGCCCGCTGCCGCCGCCGTCCCAGGCGGTCCCTCAGAGGCGACACCATCGACCTTGAGGAGGCGGCATGGCCCGCACGCTTGACGTTCCAGAGCGGCAGATCTTAGTGGATTTCTTCGACGACCCCAACGGGTTTCGATGGCATATGCGATTGCTCGTCCTGGCCACGCCCAACCCTGGGCAGTGGATATGTTCGACGCCAGACCTGAGCATTCAGTTCATCGACGTCACCACCCACAGGGTGATCCCTCACGCGGGACTCGGAGTTCCCGCGGCGGGTCAGAGGCGAGGTCTACGCCTTCGATCCTTTGACCCCCGAGGAGCTCCAGCAGGTCCGCCGAGAGGCCAAGGAGCTGCTGGCCGTCTACGGGCTCACGGGGGGCGCGGACGCGCAGCCCGAGGGTGGGCGCTGGCTGATCGCCGACCCCGCGCACCCGGGCTTCGGCGACGCGCTCCCCGCCGCGGCCCTTGCAGATGCCGACAGCCTCATCATCCGAGGCGACCGCGGCCTCGCCTGTGTGGACGAGGACTGGCTCGCCGTGGAGAGGGTGCTGGACGAGGACCTGGACAACTGGAGATTGCTCAAGTCGACGGGCGCTGGTCGCGACAGGCGGATCCTCGGCGACGAGCGCGCGAACGGGGTGCCCGTGCTCTCTCTCGCTGCCGCGGCGAGGGCCAGCAGCAAGGCCCTTCGGCCTGGCTGGCCCTTCCGCGGCGACGCCTGCGCCCCGGAGCTTGTCACGGCGCTCGTCGCGGCGGGGATCGCGCTCATCGCCCGCCACCTGGACTGGAGAACGAAGTCGGGGGTCAGTACTACGTCGGGGGTGTGCCGGACGCACCGCCGCATCTGCGAAGGCCTCGACCAGGCCGTCTGCTACGACCAACTCGACTTCGCCAACTGCGCGGTCATCGAGCACCTCGCCCGCTGGCTCTACGAGGTGGAGTCGGCGGTCAGGAGGAACCCGAAGGTGCCAGACTTCACGAACCTGGACGACATCTTCGCGGCTCCCATGGCCGAGGACGGGCGGATGCAGCTGCCGACCTTCTCCAAGTGGGTCTCCTCGCTCCGCCGCGACGAGGCTCAGATCATGAAGCAGGAGCGGCTCTGGAGCGAGGAGCACGGCATCGACCACACCAAGCACAAGGGCAAGGACGGCAAGGGGCCAGGCCGCGGCGGCGGCAAGGGCCCCAACCCCTCTGCCGAGCAGGGGGCTTCGGCCCCTGGGCGCCCGGGTCAACGGGGCAGGTCCTCTGGCTACGCTTGCTTCGACAACGCCTGCTGCCCGGGCGCCCCCCTCGTCGCCATCTCTGTGCTGACGCTCCTCGTGGACGCCCCCCTGGTCGGTGGAGGCCCCGACGTGAGCTACTGCACGGACGAGCTTGGCGGTCCGATGATGCGGGAGATGGCCCTCGACCCCGCCAAGGACTACCGCGCCATCCAGGGCCACAGTCACGGAGACCCCTTCCCCCTCCCGCTGTCTGGGGAGGTGCTCGCGCGCGGCGGCCATGCTGGGCCTGCTTCGCGGTCGCGAGCGCGGCGCGCGCGCGAGGCGATCGGGCCCCTGAACGCCCTCGACGCCCCATCGCGGGCCCTTCGGGCGCACCAGCCTTCCTCGAGCCGTCGCCTCACGGAGGCGCAGCGCTCGATCATCTCGCGCGTCAGCCGGCGCATCGAGAGCTACGGAGAACGACCCGACATCCTGCCCGCCACCGCCTACGCCGACCCCATCAAGAGTCACGACTTGTACTCGGGGCAGCCGATGAACCTGAAGCCGTACGACCCCAGCCTTCTCAAGGTGCTCCACCGCGACCGACGCCCCCAGGAGCGCCGCGGCTGCCTGGGCACCGAGGGCCGCTGGTACCTTGACCACGCCGACGAGCTTATCTTCAGGACTGAGGCCGAGCTTGACGTCCTCCAGGAGAGCGAGCTGATCCAGCCCATCACGCCGCATTGGGACCCGATCCTGAAGAACAACCGCCGCGCCAGTATAGACTTCATCAAGCGCCTCGCCTCCGCAGGCCTCGTCGGGCACAGGCTCTCCATCCGCGGCCGCATCGGCGCCTTCTGCGTGGGCGAGAAGGACGGATCCCTCCGCCTCGTCCTCGACGGGCGTGAGCCCTCCTCGCTCCCAGGAGGCCGCCCCGCACCGCCTCGCAGGGCTCGACCTCTCTGACCAGGCCCTGCGGTCCCAGGGCGTCGATCCCCAGGCGGCCGACATCCACGCGGCGGGCCTGGACCTGAAGGATGGGTTCTACCAGTTCGCGAACGACGACCTCTCGGACTGGTTTGGGTTCAACTACCCCGAGGCCGCGTCCGACTTCGGCGACCCGCTGGTGTACATCCCCGCCGACGGCCGCTTCATCCAGATGTCGAGCGACACTCGGATCTTCGCGGTCCTTCGGGGTCTGCTGATGGGTTGGTCGTGGCCCCTCCTCTTCTGCCAGGATCTTGGAGGAGGCCCAGTGCAAGGGCCTTCTGAGCTTGGGATGTGAAGGCGGACGCCGCTTGGTGCACGAGAGGTGCCCCGCGCCCTTGCCGGCGCCCGGCTGCCCCCTGTCACAGCCCTACGTGGACAACGCCAACGTCATCGGCCTCAGCCGCAGGGACACCGAGCACGCGCTGCGCGGCATCCAGCACGTCCTGGACTACTTAGGCATCGACTACCACGACCTGGTGGAGCCCACGAAGTTGCACACCACGGTGGGCGTCGTGCTCGACACGGCTGCGCGCCGCCTCCGCCACACGGGGGCTCGCGCTTGGCGCCTGTGCCTTGGCGTGGTGCATTTGCTCCGTGTGCGTCGTGCATCTGGCCGTGCCCTTCGAGTCGTGCACGGCCACCTGGTCAACCACTTCATGATCACGCGGCCAGCGCTCGCGGCGCTGGACGAGGGGCACCGCTTCATCGCGCAGCACCTGGACGCGCGGCCCCCCCTCGGCCGCCTCCTGCTGGACGAGCTCCGCGTGGTGAAGGGTATGCTGCTGCTGGCCGGCGTGGACCTCGCCGCCCCCTGGTCGCGTGTAGTCTACTGCAGCGACGCGTCGGGCGGTGAGTTGCGTGGCTGGGCGGGCTGGCCTTTCGCCGTCGCGGGGAACGGCGGCTACGCCCTCCACGAGACGGCCTGCGTCGACTACGAGGTCATGCAGGCTTTCAGGTACCGCGAGCGCTGGAGGTTCAAGATGGAGGAGGAGGAGCTGGTCACGCCGGGGGCCCCGAGCGACGAGATCCGCGGCTGGACCCCTGAGCCCACGGCCACCTCCTGCTCATCGCCGGCCTCCTGGCCCCCAGCTCCAAGCCCGACCGACGCCTCCCTCGCACGAGGACCGTCATCGTGCAGGGCGCCGCGCCAGCTCTGGACGACGCCCTCCTGGTCCGCAGCCGTTGGAAGATGATCGCGCGAGGCGCCTTCAGGTACAAGGCCTCCATCCACGTGAAGGAGGCTCGGACTCAGCTCCTCGGCCTCGTCCGCGCCTCGCGCGATCCCCGCATGCACGGCCTCCGCGTCGGCAGCCTGGGCGACAACATGGCGGCGCTCCTCAGCTTCGAGAAGGGGCGCGCCCGTGACAGGGCCCTTCTCCAGCTCTGCCAGGTCAGCGCCGCCCGCCAGATCGGGTGCGAGATCCAGTGGAAGCAGCGCTACTGCGAGTCAGGCCGCAACCCGACGGACGCCGACAGTCGTGCTGCTGACCTGGGACATGTCCTACCTGATCATCCCCAGCGTGGCTGCTCGCGGGCCCTGGCCGTCATCGAGTCGGCCAACGCGGGGCTTGCCACGGAGCCCGCGGGGCCCCCTGCTCGCGCGCGGCGCCCCGCACCCTGTGGGCCGGCCGCTGGTCTCCTGCCTGGCGGGGCGGCCGCGCGCCTTGCCAGGGTCGGCGCCTTCGCGCGGCGGAGGCCCCCTCGGGCTGGCGCCGCGCACGGGCGCCCAGCGCCCGAGCCACCTCGCGCTGCCCCACAGGCCTCGCCGCACGGACAGCCGTGCCAGCGCGCCCGCGGGGACCGCAGCCGCTGCCGGGCATTTTGCGAGCTCTACGCGGGCACCGGTAGGCTCACGGCAGCCGTCAGAGACGTTCGTTTGCACTGCACTCCACACATCGAGATTGGAAATGGTAAGCGTTTCGACGTCCATCATCATTCTGTCTTTCGTATTTTATCACGCTGGACTCGCCTCAAGAAGCTTTGGTATATTCATTTCGGTACTCCGTGCACTTTCTGGTCACTCGCTACTGGGCCCCACCGGGACTCTCATCAGCTTCAAGGGCTTCGAGCTGCGCGTGCTACCTTACGGCTCTTACGGCTATGTCATCAGTACGGCATACACTGGTCTCTGGAGAACCCGGCTGGGTCCAAGCTCTTCAATTGGGACCCCCTCACGGACTTCCTGAAGACCTCAGGTGGCAACTGGGCCCTCCTCCACTACTGCCAGTACGGCTGCACCTATAAGAAGCCTACGTACCTCGTGTCGAGCCTCCCAGAGATCACATCTCTCGAGCGCCTCTGCCCAGGGAACCACAGCCACGAGATCCTCCAGGGCAAGGTATCCCTCACGTCACCCTCTGGGGCCATCCGCAGACATTGGAAGACCAGCCTTGCGGGAGCCTACCCACCTGAGCTCTGCCGCAGGTGGGCTCGCCTCCTCGCGGCCTGTGCCCCCCGCGCTGCACGCTGTGCTCATGCCGGTGACCCGCTCGGCGACCACTGGGAAACTGAGCTGGCGGCCAACTTCCCAGGCGGAGGCGTCCAGCCCCAGCGGCCGCAACCCTCCTGCCCTTCGGGGTCGCCGCCCGAGTGGCCCGCCTCGGCGCCGCAGTGGGGCGCCGCCTGGTCCAAGCCTGCCGCCGCTGGCGGGCCGGGGCGCACGCGGCAGAGAGCGTCGGGGTGCGCCGGCGAGAGCGGGCGGTCGGTGCGGACAGGCCCTACCCCAAGCACCAGCGTGTCCAGCCCCGCACCGTCGCCTTGCACCGCGAGGCCCACCGCAACTTCAGCCAGTGGGCGGCCGAGCAGCACCTCCGCCAGGTGTCCATGGACGAGACAGACCTGGCCATGACGAGGTACCTCGACCACATGTAAATCCAGAGGCTCAGCATCGCCCACGCCAGGAACGCCGTCCACGGGACGATCTTCGTGAAGGACTACCCGCGACGATCGCCTACCACCATGTACCGTGCCAAGGACGCCCTGGCCGGATGGTTCAAGGCAGGGCCCGACCGCGTCAGAGATCCGCTGCCCTGGGAGGCGGCGGTGCTGATCGCCGACAACCTCGCCGAGAGAGACCGCGAGGGGGTCGCCGCCGCTGGGGCCCTGCTCGCCAGCTTCGACGGGTACATCAGGCCGAGCAACACCCTGGCCATCACGAGCCGCGAGGTGAGCCAGCGCCAGGCGGGATCCAATCCCAACTACCCCAGCCTCGTGGTCACGATCGCGCCCCAGGCCGACGACCACGGCCAGCAGCCCGCCCCATCGACCAAGTCGGGGGACCACGACTGCACCATCGTCTTCGGCGACCAAGCCAGCCTCAAGGCCAACAGGGGCATCTGCCGCGACGCTCTGCTCTGGGCCTCAAGGAAGGCCCGCCGCGGCAGGCCCCTGTTCGACATCAGCCTCGCAAAGTACGAGCAGCTCTTCAACCGAGCCGTGTCCGACGTAAAGCTGAGCTCTCTCAGGGTCACGCCGCGCTGTGCCCGACACGGAGGCCCGAGCACCGACGCAGCTCTCAAGTTGCGCCCTCTTGGGGCCATCCAGAAGAGAGGCCTCTGGCGCTCGGCCTCCACCGTGCGGCGCTATGAGAAGCATGGCACACTCATGCGCCAGATTGCAAAGATGACGTCCTCCCAGCTTCGCTCTGTGCCCGCAGCCCTTCAGAGGCTGCAGAATATGTTCAAGATTTGATGCCCCACCCACCCTGCCCTAGCAGTCCGTTTTACGGGGTACGGGACGAGGTGATCATCTCGATAATTCAGGCTTTTCTCTTGTACTGTGGCGACGCCACAGCAGAAGCGACGCTCTTGAGTGGAACCCTCTGGCTAATCAGTTATATGTCGCGCTTCGCGCACTGCATGGCCCTTCTGCCCACGTCTGCTCTGGTCGCCCGTGTAGAGAGGCCTACTGGTGCGTAGCAATGTTCTGTCCCTGACATCTCTTGCTGTGTTATCGAGGGCGACCGCTCGACAGGATGCCGTTTCCATAATCCTTTTTGGCTCTGTAGTTTCCCTCCCTCCCTCCCTGGGATGAGGTGATTATCTCGATAATTCAGGTTTTTCTCTTGTACTGTGGCGACGCCACAGCAGAAGCGACGTTTTTGAGTGGAACCCTCTGGCTAAAGAATTCTTCACGCTTCGCGTATCCCCACCAGCCCATCTCAAAACAGCAACTCTTGCGAAGCATGCCGACAGTCGTGTTTTTCAGGCGTGTTTCCGCCTGCCCCCGCATATCTCCCCTGTTCCTCTTTCCTCCCGCCTCCTTGTACATCCTCCTTGTGGTGGGAGCGGGAGAAGGACGAGGCGGAGGAGGAGGGAGAGAAAGCGCTCCTCGTGGTTTGAGTCGTTTGGGGTTTCTCGTCCTGGTGTGAGTCGTTCGGGCCCTTCTTCCTGGTGTGAGTCGTTCGGGCTCTTCGTGGTGTGAGTCGTTCGGGCTCTTCGTCCTGGTGTGAGTCGTTCGGGCTTCTCGTGGTGTGAGTTGTTCGGGCCCCTCGTCCTGGTGTGAGTCGTTCGGGCCCCTCCTCCTGGTGTGACTCGTTCGGGCTCCTCGTGGTGTGAGTCGTTCGGGGCCCTCGTCGTGGTGTGAGTCGTTCGGGCTCCTCGTGGTGTGAGTCGTTCGGGCGCCTCGTCCTGGTGTGAGTCGTTCGGGCCCTTATTCCTGGTGTGAGTCGTTCGGGCTCTTCGTGGTGTGAGTCGTTCGGGCTCTTCGTCCTGGTGTGAGTCGTTCGGGTTTCTCGTGGTGTGAGTTGTTCGGGCCATTCGTCCTGGTGCAAGTCGTTCGGGCCCCTCGTAGTAGGAGTAGTAGTAGTAGTAGTAGTAGTAGTAGTAGTAGTAGTAGTAGTAGTAGTAGTAGTAGTAGTACTAGAAGCAGTAAGGGGTAATAGCACTAGCAGTATCAGTACCAGTAGCATTAGCAGTAGCAGTAGCCGTCGTAGTAGAATTAGCCGTGGTAGTTGTAGTAGTAGCAGTAGTAGCAGTAGTAGTAGTACTAGTAGTAGTACAAGTAGGAGCAGTAGTAGCAGTAGTCGTTTTAGTAGTAGTAGTAGTAGTAGGAGGAGGAGGAGTAGTAGTAGTAGTAATAGTAGTAGTAGTAGTAGTAGTAGTGGTAGTAGCAGTAGTAGTAGTAGTAGCAGTAGTAGTAGTAGTAGTAGTAGTAGTGGTGGTATTACCAGTACCAGCGGTAGTCGCGCACGTAGTCGTCAACGCCGTCGTCGCAGTAGTTGTCTCAGTAGCAGTAGCAGTCCCTAGAGCAGTGGTCTATATGGAAGTAGTAGTAGCAGTAGTAGTAGTAGTAGTAGTAGCAGTAGTAGTAGTAGTGGTAGTAGTAGTAGTAGTAGTAGTAGTAGCCGTAGCACCATGAGTAGAAGTAGTAGTACTAGATTTAGAAGTAGTAGTAGTACGAGTAGTAGTAGTAGCAGCAGTAGTAGTAGTAGTAGTAGTAGTAGCAGTAGTAGTGATGGTAGTCTTAGTAGTAGTAGTCGTAGTAGTAGTAGTAGTAGTAGTAGTCGTCGTAGTAGCCGTAGTAGTAGTAGTCGTGGTAGTAGCAGTAATAGGACGAGTAGTAGTAGTAGAAGCAGTAGTCTTAGTACTGATAGCAGCAGTAGTAGTAGTCCCAGTAGAAATAGTAGCAGTAGTACTAGTAGCAGTGGTAGTGGTAGTACTAGTAGTAGTAGCAGTAGTAGTAGTAGTAGTAGTAGTAGAACTAGAACTAGTAGTAGTAGTAGTAGTAGTAGTAGTAGTTGTAGTAGTAGCAGCAGTAGTAGATGATGTAGTAGTAGTAGTAGTAGTAGTAGTAGTAGCAGTAGTCGTAGTAGTATTAGTAGTAGTATAGTTAGTAGTAGTAGTAGTAAGTAGTGTAGTAGTAGTAGTAGTAGTAGTGTAGTAGTAGTGGTAGTCGTAGTAGTCGTAGTAGTCGTAGTAGTCGTAGTAGTAGTCGTAGTAGTAGTCGTGAGTTAGTAGTTAGTAGTATATTAGTAGTATAGTAGTCGTAGTACTAGTACTAGTAGTACTAGTACTAGTAGTAGTAGTAGTAGTAGTAGTAGTAGTAGTAGTAGTAGTAGTAGTAGTAGTAGTAGTAGCAGTAGTAGTAGTAGTAGTAGTAGTGTCTGTTTGGGAGCCTCTTGGAGGCCTTTTGGGGCGTCTTGGGGGCCTCTTGGCGGCCCCAGGGGCTTCTAGGAGCGTCTTGGGTGCCTTGGGGGAGCCTCTTCGGGCCTCTTGGGGGCCTCTTGGAGGCCGTTTGGGGCGTCTTGGGGGCCTCTTGGCGGCCCCAGGGGCTTCCAGGAGCGTCTTGGGTGACTCGGGGGAGCCTCTCGGGGCCTTTTGGGGGCTTCTTGGGGGCATCTTGGGGGCCTCTTGGAGGCCTCTTGGGGCCTCTTGGGGCTCTTTGGGAGGGTCTGGGAGGTATCTTGGGGCCATCTTTCGGGCGATCGATCACAGCTGGGGCGAGCACGTTTCTGCCCCCCCCGTCGGGGCCACAATCCTCGTGAGGGGTGTCGAATTTTAGCCACCCCCCAGGAGTCGAAAAAGACACCTCCAACGACCCGCGGAAGGACCTTTCCAGGCCCAGGGGGAGGGGGTAGGGGGAGGGGTAAACCCCTCCCCGAAGGGGAAGAAGGGGGTTGAGAACAGAGCGGGCTCTCTAAACCACTCACGCCCAAAGGGCTGGTGGGACTAGTAGTAAGTAGTAGTATAGCAGTAGGTAGTAGTAGTAGTAGTAGTAGTAGTAGTAGTAGTAGTAGTAGTAGTAGTAGTAGTTAGCAGTAGTAGTAGCAGTAGCAGTAGCTAGTAGTAGTAGTAGTAGTAGTAGTAGTAGTAGTAGTAGTAGTAGTAGTAGTAGTAGTAGTAGGTAGTAGTAGTAGTAGTAGTAGTAGTAGTAGTAGTTAGTAGTAGCAGTAGTAGTAGTAGTAGTAGTAGTAGTAGTCGTCGTAGTAGTGGTAGAAGTAGTAGTAGAGTCTTGGGGGAGCCTCTTGGGGCCTCTTGTCTTCGGGGCCTCTTGGCGGCCCCAGGGGCTTCTAGGAGCGTCTTGGGTGCCTTGGGGGAGCCTCTTCGGGCCTCTTGGGAGCCTCTTGGAGGCCGTTTGGAGCGTCTTGGGGGCCTCTTGGCGGCTCCAGGGGCTTCCAGGAGCGTCTTGGGTGCCTCGGGGGAGCCTCTTGGGGCCTCTTGGGGGCCTCTTGGGGGCCTCTTGGGGCCATCTTGGGGGCCTCTTGGGGCCTCTTGGGGCTCTTTGGGAGGGGTCTGGGAGGTATCTTGGGGCCATATTTCGGGCGATCGATCACAGCTGGGGCGGTTTTTTTCTGCCTCCCCCCGTCGGGGCCAGAATCCTCGTGAGGGGTATCGAATTTTAGCCCTCCCTGGAGTCGAAAAAGACCCCTCCAACCACCCGCGAAACGCCCTCTCCAGGCCCAGGGGGAGGGGGTAGGGGGAGGGGTAAACCCCTCCCCGAAGGGGAAGAAGGGGGGTTGAGAACAGAGAGAGCTCGCTAAACCACTCACGCCCAAAGGGCTGGTGGGATTATATGTCGCGCTTCGCGCACTGCATGGCCCTTCTGCCCACGTCTGCTCTGGTCGCCCGTGTAGAGAGGCCTACTGGTGGCGTAGCAATATATATATATATATATATATTATATATATATGTATATATATATATATAATTATATATATAATAACACAAAATATATATAATATATATATATATATATATACCTATACGACCACCCTTCGGGTGATAAGGAGGTTCGGGGGGGGGAGGAACCAACGTCTCACTCGATCGGTCTCACTATCGATCTCACTATCGATCTCAGTATCGGTCTCGCTCGATCGATCTCCCTCGATCGATCTCACAATCGATCTCACAATCGATCTCACTCGATCTCACTCGATCTATCTCACACTCGATCTCACTCGATCATCATCATCATCATCATCATCATCATCATCATCATCATCATCATCTTCATCATCATCATCATCATCGTCATCATCATCATCATCATCATCATCATCATCATCATCATCATCATCATCATCATCATCATCATCATCATCATCATCACCATCATCATCATCATCGCGGGACACCGGGACGGCGACACCGCGGGGGGACACCGCGGGACACCGCGGGACACCGGCGGGACACCGCGGGCCAGAGGCCGCCCGGAAGGGAGACATTTGGTCCGGCCGCGCCTCAGCCACACGGGACACCAGCGGGACACCGGCGGGACACCGCGGGCCCCCGGCCGCCCGGAAGGGAGACATTTGGTCCGGCCGCGCCTCAGCCACAGGAGACTTTCTTCTCGCCCGCCCACGCAGCTTCGCCTCGCCCGCACGCACGGCACGCACGAACACGAATCCGAAATCGATTTCCCGGTAGGGGGGCTCTCCGTTCCATGTCGATCTCACCCCCTCGCCTCCGATATAGATTTATATATATACACAGAATATGAGTGTATGCAGATATACACCAATATATATATACATATATATATATATATATATATATATATATTAAATTAAGATGTAGCTACATCTAAGTACACTTATAGATCGAAAAATGTATACATATATAAATATAGAGAGAGCAACGAGAGAGAGAGAGGACAAACATAGAGAGAAAGAGAAAGATAGAGAGAGAGAGAGGGGAAGGGAGGGTAGAGGAGAGGAGGGCAGAAGGAGAGGACGGGAGGCCCAGACCTGT